CTTCACAGTTAGCAACACCCAAGACCTTAATATCATCTGCAAATTTAAGTAATTTATTGACTATTCTTTCATCTATGTCATTGACGTAATTCAAAAAGAGCAAAGGTCATAAGACTGAGCCCTGAGGTACCCCATTTGTGACATGAATCCAGTTTGAGTAAACTCCATTTGTAACAACCCTCTGATTTCTTCCATCCAGCCACTCTTCTATCCAATTTGTTAACTTATCCCCCACACCTATAGAGATAATTTTTGTTTACAAGCCTTTTATGTAGCACCTTGTCAAATGCTTTCTGAAAATCCAGATAAATCAAATCTATACCCTAACCGTCATCTACATAAGCAGCAACCTTCTCAAAGAATGTCAAAAGATTTGTAAGACAAGATTTTCCCTCAGTGAAACCATGTTGACTATCCAATAAACTTCTAAATTTTTTTAAATAACTTTGCAAAGCATCTTTTAACAGACTTTCCAAAACTTTTCCACAACTGATGTAAGAATAATGGGTCTATATTTACTGGGACAATTTTTGTCACCTCCCTTGGAAAGAGAAGTTACATTAGCTAACTTTCAATCCTCTGGTACCTGCCCACTATCTAAAAATTGACAAAAAATAGTCATAATTGGCTCACATATCTAATCTTTAACCTCCTTCAAAACCCTTGGAGAAATATTATCTGGCCCAGGAGCCTTATCGTTTTTTAAACTTCCCAATTTTTTCTTAACCTGCTCAGAATTAATGCAGTCATCTTGTTTGATCTTGTTTCCATTTATCAACTGTTCAAGATGTGGAATACTGCTTAAATCTTCGTTTGTAAAAACCAAAGAAAAAGCAAAATTTAATAAACCAGCCATCTCATAATCATCAGATACTAGCATTCCTTTATCATCCCACATGGGTCCTACCCCCCATTCTAACATTTTGTTTACTCTTAATGTATTTAAAGAATTCCTTACTGTTAATTTTTACATTTTCAGCCAACCTTCTCTCATACATCTTTTTTTGATGTCCTAATTTCCTGTTTCCCCAACTTTCATGATATTCTATAATCTTCTGAATCTCCTGTCATACCAGTCAATTTAAATTTCTTATGCTTTTCTTTAATTTTATCTCTTAAACTCTTTGTGATCCGACCTGGTTTTTACTTGCAGCTACCCTTTTCTTTCTGTAAGGAATATGTTTACCTTGAATATTTAAAAATTTATCTTTAAAAATTTTCCACGTCTGATCAGTGTCTCCAAATAACTCAGCTGTCTAATTCACAATAGGTAATTCCTGTCCCCTTCCTTTAAAATTTGTAACCAAATTATCATTATTCCTTATCTCCATATGCAGTAAAACATTGACAGTAATAAGGCAATGATCACTTGCACCCAGATGTTCCCAATTTCCACCCTCTCAATCATTTCTGTATTTGAAGTTAACAATATGTCAAAAATAGCAATGTTTCTAGTTGGTTCCTTGACTAACTAGTGAAGAAAGCCATCCTGAACAGTTTCAAAAAACCTTTCTCCTTCATGGTTTGACTAGAATTTCCCAATCTATATGCCTGAAATTAAAATCATCCACAATTATGACTTCATTAACATCTGAAATCTTAATCTCATTGTAAAGTTTCTCATTAATTTCATCACTACCATTTGGTGGTCTGTAACAAATTCCCACTAAAAGCCTTTTCCCTTTATATTCACTAATAGAAACCCAAATGAATTCAATCTCCTTGCTATTATCTTTAATATTCACAACTTCAACAGGATGCAACTCAGATTTTACATATAAAGCCACTCCTCCCCCCTATTAAATAGCCTGTAACCCTGTATTTCAAAGAAACTTCTGTCATCAAAATCATCTGCATTTAACCATGTTTCAGTTATTCCCATTATATCAAAATCCTCCACTCCTACCAGTGCTCTGAAGTAATATATTTTATTTCTTATACTTCTAGCATTATAATAGTAACAATTAAGCCTATCCTTACAACTACTTCTATACTCATTTCCTAAGCTAAACTTTTCTCTGTTTCTCATTCTTTTTGCATTTAGTTTTCCAGGACCTCACCACTGTCTAGTTCTAGTTTAAAACTTCCCTTACAGCTGAGTTAAGAGCCTTAGCAAACAAGCCAGCCCCCTATCCTAGTTAAATGTAAAGCATCCATTGTATAAAGCTCCCTTCTTCAACTTAACTGATCCCACAAGTCCAACCAGCCAATCTGCACATCCTTACATACTGACCTACTTTTAACTTCATCCTCACAGTTAATTCTGGGCAGTATCCCTGACAAAATTAAGTTTTGACCTTTTTCTTTAAATGTCTTTATCAACCCCTGACCTACCTTTCCCTACATCATTATCCCCTACATGCACCACAAAAACTGCACCTCTGCTAACCTCCCTTTATTACATCACCTGCTCTGTCAGTTATATCCTCCACTTGTGCCCCTATGTAGCATAATCTGATTCTTTTCTCCTTATTTACCCCACAGACTATTCTATCTCCATGCCTTGTCAATGAATCACATATAACCTCCTTATCATCCACATCCTTCTCTGATCATTTTGTTTTCCTTCCCTCCAGTAGTTCTTCATCAGCAGAAGCTAAGGGCTGAAATTTGTTGCTCAACAGAATAGGCTCATCATAACTAAATTCACTACTTTTTACTCTAATAGTACTCTTTCTAACTTCCTGAAAGTCAATGTTAGCTGATATATCCCTTGCATGTAAAAGCTTAAGCTCCTCCTGAAATCCTGCTGCCATTTCCCACAGTCTAAACTTCTCTTTATCTATTGCCTCTACTTTAATTATGATTGCTCCAACTTCTCCTCCAACCTACAAACTCTATATAAAAATTTCACATGTTCATTACTAGCTTCCTTAAAAGTACATGCTAGTCCTGAGTTTCCAAATAAAATCCACTCTTGTATTATGATTATGTTGAAAATATTTATACTATGAATATCAGCAGTGTAAAAATGCAATTTTTCAGCACTTCAAAAATTATTTAGTTTCACAAATGCACCATTCCAAGATGAAATAGGTTTATTCAAGTTAGTACAGAAATAAAAGGTAAAAGCAATATCTATTTTCATGTTTAAATCATATATATTCCCTGGACATACATTTTCAATTGTATGCATAACCTTCAAATTAATAATAAAATCTTTGTAAGTAATAGTTAAACTTATTGTTAAATCATTGAAAAATACAAGCTGATATATTTTATAACTTATGCTGTTGAATGTATTGTTGTCTGTATCATAAACAAATAGTAATCCCACCAATAAGAATAGCTTAAACTGGTAGATTTTAGGTTACATGTATAACAAGTATTAATATTATGTTTTTCAAATATCCTCCCTGGTTATGCCTCTCATTTTAAGGTTAGTCACAAATAATGCAAATGATGTACCAGGTCATGTGATGCCCTTGTGTGGTCATGCTTAGTCTGATGGCCATGACTACACACTACTGTTTGACATCACAATTTCCATTTTAACAAGCTTCTGAAAAATACGGCACGATCAATATTTCAAAACTGTTTAAGCAGAGCAGTAGTACAGAAGGTAATTGAATCTACATCAGGGAACTGAAAAAGCATTCAGTCAAAAAGGATTACTGTGCTTCCAGTTTCTTTGGCTATCTTTCCAACAAAATCAGCTAATGATTTCAAGTTGTGGTTAGAAACTAATGAATTTTTGGCTTACAAGCCTTTGTTAATTTCACATCTGGGTTTATTTCCTTGTTATGGTGCCAAGATATAAGAACAACTTCGCTGTAGCCACAGCTTTTACTTTGCAGACGAGGGCATTGCTCCAGATTTGGAATGTATGGTTTTGGAGCCACCTGTTAGATCCTAAATATTCTGCTTTACAACATTTTTGGCTTTGAAGGAAAATGTTAAAATCTCCCTTTTTTGAAATGTAAAGTCCTCTTACTTCATCATTTAATAGTACCATTGTACGAATATAATTTCTCAGAAAAACTGTGACATAATCCTCCAGACATAAGTTATCCATGGTGACACTGCAATGTCAAGTGATTGGAAATTTGTCACGAGTTAGATATTTATGTTTTAAGTATGTTGCCATGAAGATCACTGCATTAATATTTACAATTTGTTCATACAAAATGCAATTAACCTTCTGTATCATTACCAAAGTAAAGATATGATGAAAACATAAACATTCTAATTTTCTTTATTTCATTATCTTTTTTATAAAATAAAAAAAAAAACACAATGCTTAAGTCTAGTCTAATTTCTATTCATTGCTTCCAAAAATATATTTTTAATGTAGTGCAGAATTAAACTTCTCACCTATGTGGATACAACTTGTAAGAAAAGAAGTGATGCTAAACATTTGAAAATTTTTATTCATTTTTGTTACTCTTTATTTTCTTATAGCTCAACATATCTATTAATAAAGTTTTCAATGTAAGTTCACTGTAGTAAAAAAGACGAGCACGAAACAAATATTTTTTACTGTGTATGGACATAATAATTAACTTAAGTATTATTAACATAAACTACATTTTTTATAATATAATTTCCGTTTTGTTAAATTAAATACACACAGATAACATTTTTCCAGTTTATGTGTAGTATCTAGCTGTTAAGTTCATGGAAAGTACTCTTTTGTTTATCATAAGAGCAGGGAATGTAATCAAACATGCTTTTTTATTTCAATTAAAACAAGATATTATTAAGAACACTAATAATGTAAGCTAAAAATTCACTGATGATCCTTCCTATTGTTTCAAATGTCAACATTTGTAATAATGGTGAAATAACTGAGATATAAAATTTACTAACGCTATGTGTTCCTGGTCAATATTCCATAAATCAGTGGGACATATCAAAATATATAATTAAAGTAAGCAAGCTCTGAAGTAAATTAGATACTTGTATATATGTTGATAATCATATTTTCTGGCCAACTACACAGTATAACTTTTTTAAATAAATACAAAAATCATCTCTGAAGTAAAATATTTTTAACTAACCTGAACCTTGTAGAGATTGGCTAGGCTTACGTCCTTTTCCCATAATATTTTCCATTAGTCCACTCCTTTTCTCTTTTTTCTTATCTTTTTTTATTCTACTGACTCCAATACACCATTCATCAACTACTTTCAAGCACGATTTGTGAACATTGATATCACAGTCTAAGTAGAAAAACATGAAAAAAATCATCACAAAAGCTAACTTCTTTAAATAAAAATTTATAAACTATAACTCGCATTTCATTTAAAATAACAAAAATCACAAGAAAGCATCGCACAACTTGAGATCATTTATCTATAGTAACACACACTATCATTGACCTGGCACACACTAAAGTAATGCTCTAGTTTTGGTAAGTATCAATCAACAATAGAAAAGAATCACAATTTCTTGAATTATATTTTTTTGTATACAAATGGATTTGTCTTTATATGTCTTATTCGCATGCTAGTGTGATCAAACATTTATCTGTGAATGGTATAGACAAAAGATATAATCTTTATACTGCACTTTAAAACACAATTATTATGTTAGACATCACAAATTGAGCACACAGTTTTTTATATCAAATTAAGATTTTTTTCATGTATGTGTAACTCAATCATAAGGTGAATAGAAAGAGAATTATAATCAAACAGAATCAGAAAGACTATTAAAGTAGTATATATAACAAATTAAAATTTTCATTTCCACTATCAACTGATACAAAGTAAAAAAAGTACCAAATTAACATATGTTTTCCAACTTTTTTTCTGTGTGCATAATTTTAATAATAGCAATGTACAGATTTTTACCATAACTGACCTATAAAAATTGACAAAGTATAGCTCATTTACTATTAAAAATATTATCTTCTCAATTAAGTAAGAAATTAATTAAGAATACAATGTATTCCTAGTTAAGTGACAGATGTATTACTAAATATTAGAATGTTTTTTTTATTCAGCCAACAACCATTAACCTATTCTAGAAAATGTTTTCCACGGGTTGATTAGTTGATACAAAATTCAACCTCAGTTTTTGAAAAGTAGCTTTTGAAAGTACCTTCCTGTATGTTTGATCATTTGAATTATTCAATTTAACTGATTTTTATATTACTGGAAAAATGCATTCCTTCAGCCTTATTACACTAACAAATAATTTCAAGAAAAACTGATGTATACAGTTACCGTATGATGTACTTCTGCTGAAATAATGACAATTAAAAACAGTAAAAAAAAAGGAAATTACAAAAGTATACTAAAATACTGAGAGGTATATTTAGTGAATTTTTGTTTTACATAAACACTTACTTTGGCATTGATATCCTTGGTATCCTATTCCCCAAATGATATGCTGACAATGGTTACAATAGGTAACCGAATGCCAGTGTTCTAATTGAAAAGTATGACCTTTCACAAGCACAGGCTACAGAAAAAAAAAGTAAAATGTAATGTTAGACAAACAGCAAGTTTCCAAAGATATATACATCAATGACTATGATTAAAGACAGAAACTGGTGTTTGTAGGTTCCCTAATTAAGGTATACTATTTTATTTATTTATACTGTTTATGTACCAATTTTATTCTTGCATTCAAAAAGTGTAACAAAATGACTTAATAATGTAAATTATCCTCTTCATGTGACAATATTTGTACAACATCTACAAAACAAACTAAAATAATGAAATGCAAGCATCTAATTTTAATATAGTTTATGTTACAGGTTCCTGTATTTAACAACACTTGACACTGAAATTTAATACTTTCACATCATCAATAAAATACCACACATACATTTATGATTGTAACCTTTGAAATACCTGCCATTTAAACATAAAATATGTTTTGGTGTTTTAATGCAATTTTCATTTCACTTCACACCACAAAACAGCAATCAACATGGAGCTCTATATTTCTTACACAACTCAAGAATTTTGCTTAAATGAAAACTGAGATTTCCAGCATTCCAGATACAGTAGTTTAGTTGGTTAAACCACCCTACTGAACCTTAATTTTTCCCATCATAAAAAAGATGTCTAACAAGCTTATGATGGCAAGCAATTTTATACTTTTGGTTTAATTTGAATCAAAACAAGATATTTCAAATTTTAGTTAGTATTTTTTTGTATCTGTAATAAAGTCAGTAAAATGGTTTAACTGATGCAACTGTGTGTATACATCTCAACTTAAAAGAATTTTTAATCCATATTCTTCAGGTTGTAAATCTTTTCAACCTCATCATACCATACACATATAATTTGTACTAGCATTAATTTAGATTGTCACTCAGTCAGAGGAATTTAATTTTTATAAGTACAGTTTCAAAAAGTTACTTGTCCTTTATATTTTTACTTCATATTTATAAACAGAATACAATCAAAAACATCCAATTTAATACACAGGAAGTGAAAGTAATTGTGGTATGTACATAACACAGCCTGTATGTTTTACATTTACAAGCTAGTGATTATTAATACACAGAAAGTGAAAGTAATTGTGGTATGTACATAACACAGCCTGTATGTTTTACATTTACAAGCTAGTGATTATTAGGGTGGCGCTTTACAATAAACCACAAAGGCAACATCTAAAATACTTGCATTACTGACAAAATTTGTATTTTAGTTTCCACGTATTAACTGAAATAGATTAAATCTTTGTAACAAGTTCCAAAGAAACACAAAAATTAAAAATTAATTTTATGACAGGTTTAATATAAATATTTACTTAATCAAAGCAGAAAAAAGATGCTCTGTGAATTAACTAACTAGTTATTAAAGATGTAAATATTTATCTTTATGGGATGCACTTTTGCTGAAACCTATGTCTCACAGTTACTAATAAGCTTCCTTGGCCAAGACTGTATTCTAATATCATAACACTTAATATGGCTGATTATAAGTAATAAAAAACATTTTGTAAATGTAAAATGATGTACGGATGACAGTGCCAAAATAAATGCAAACAAGAATATAGGGATGATACAAGTATACATAGGTCATCCCTACATGACTTTCAATATTAAAATGTAATGTTACACTGTAAAATGCATAAGTACAAAATGGTTACAAGGTCAGTCAATTTCACTGACCTCGTAATGAGAATCTGTAGTAGTCTGTAATAATCACGACCTGTTTTGACTCAACTTGGTTTTTTTTTGTACACAAGTCCTAGGCTCTAGTTACACTACATTGATGCCTACCCTGACATGACAATGTTATTATGATAAATGAACTGCATACCAACTGAAGTAATATTAAAGTCAAGTACGCAATTTACTGTGTAACATTAAATTTTAACATTGAAAGTCATGTAGGCATGATCTATGTATAGCCATATCATCCCTATATTCTTGTTTGCATTATTTTTTTGCACAGCCATTCCTAGGTCATTTTTCATTTACAAAATGTTTTTCATTACTTGTTATGTGACTTTTTTTCCCCCCAACTTGAAAGTTAGCATGTACTATAACTGTGTGTGTATACTAAAATTTCAATGTTATGTGTATTGATTTTTTTTTACTCCCTCACTTCATACATGATGTAGGAAGTGGCTTCCTAAAGACACCAACTGTATAGTGTACGAAGCATTGAGTATTCTAAGTGTTACAGTTATCTAATTTTCATCTGTTATGAGCTGGTAATTCCCATTTTACCCTGTACATAAGCTTTTTAAAGGAACATCTGATTTCTGTAAAAAAGCTAACTTCAAGTGTTAATGATAAAAAATTTTTCACCAGAATCATGATTATATTCCTTAAATTACTACTAGTTATTAAGACTAAGCGATGACATTGTGCACTGCCCAGTAACACATAAAGTGGATTTAGGTTTAAACTGATGTTAGTGATAAAGTAGTTGTAGAGTTATCTCAACTGAAGCAAGAAGAAGGATGAACAATTTGGTGGGTTGGTCACTTTCTGGTTTGGTACTTTAGTGATGGTTCTTGCCTTGTTTTTTGGGCTTGTTGGGTAGAAAAACAAATGAAAGTGAGTGGCAATCATCTTTTAAAGTAAAACTCTCTGTCAGTGTTGATTTTTAGTGTGAATATTTGTATTATGCCTTGGCCATCCCCACATAAAATCTACTGACTCTATGATATGACCTGTACCTCAATGGCATCATTCAATCAGGTCTGCCAAATAAACTTGTAGTAAAAGAAGTAAATCACACTTGATTAAAAAAACAAGTTATTTTGTTATTCAGAGTATCAGAAATTAATCTTCTGCCAACTGTTACATAATAATAAGCCATATTATACACTTAAATAAGTGTCTTAAAAGCTATAGTAGCTACATAAAATAAGGTTCTCATAAAACTAAACTGTATAGTTAATTCTCATGGTAATTCATCTTCAATATTATCATCTCTAAAAATCCACTCGGTTAATTACATGATAAATTATATCATAATCTATCAAATCTTTTCCATACCACTGTTGTACAAAAAAAAACATTTTAAGTAAATAATACTCTAGAATATACTGAAACCACTTTTTTGGAATTAAAAAAAAAAAGCATTTATGTGAAAAAGCAAAATCATATCAAGGTCCAACCTGATTTTATTTCCAAAAAAATGTTCAGCAATTTAACATAAAAATAATAATTTAGTTTCATATAAACTAATTTTGTTTAGAAAGTTTGTTTTTGTAAAACTATTAAGCTTTAGAAGTTAGAACAAATTATAGTTTTAAAAGGACGGCTCATAAAATACTATTTAAAGTTACCTTCTTGTTCCTTTGAAGAAACTTCAGCCTTGTTCTTTCTTTTGCTACAAAAACTGGATATCTTTCCAACAGGTTGAGGGCATACTGACTTTTGACACCAAAATGTTTGAGCACTGTTGCCAATGCAGCAGCTACAGCTGTGTTTTTATCATTGATATTTTCAGGATCCTCTTTAAAGCTGAATATAGATTCCATTAGATACACTTATAAAAAAATTATAATTTATGTGATAATACAAATGCACTATTTTCATACTTAAAACTATATTCATAAAAAATAAATAAAATTTCATACCAAATATAAATGACTATATTTTGCTAACCATATCTTTAATATTTACAGAGTGAGCAATCCATGAAATGACCTATACTGTATTAAACACAACTGTAATCTTTAGGGATTCAAAAAGCTATAAACACTTTCATAAAACAGTAATGCACATTAAGAGACCTACAGTACCAGAAACATAGCAAGTGAGTGCATTTAAAAATGTTATCATCACAATAAAATAAAAGGCAATAACTATATATATATATATATATATATATACATACCTACACCAACAAAAGACGAGGTAAGAAAACTAACTACTTACAATAGTTAAAGTTAGAATAACTAATTAATTTAAAATTAACAAACATAAATAGTAACTAACCAAAACAATGTAGTAACTTAT